AAACAAACAAGCTTTCAGAAAGAAAAAAAGTGGAGAGTCTAAAGTGGCTGAAACACAGAGGAGAACTCTTTTCATGCCCCCTGAATAGACCTGAAGAAGAAGGGATTTCAGTAGGTGCAGCTTTCCTGACCTGCATGAGAATCAGGGCCACCTGCTAAAATCACCCTTTCCTTGCAATTTGTCACTCTGGTGGCAACTCTGCATTAAGAAAAAAATGAGAATTTAAGAAACTACCACAGATTATTTGTACTAGGAATGCAAACTGGAGTCATAACTCTGTTACCCCTCCCTGGGAATCCCTGTTAGGAAAATTAAAGGGGAGGGGATGTCTAATGCTCTCCACTGGAGAAGATAGTTACTGAGGATATTTGTGTTGGTCTGCAGTTAAATTTGAGTCCAGTAGCAACTTGTTGTGGCGAGGGGGCTTGCGTGGTTCGATGAGGCTGTGGGCTATGCCGTGGAGGGCCACCCAAGACAGACAGGCCACAGCAGAGAACTCAGACCAAGCGTGATCCCCTGGAGAAGGAAATGGCAACCCACTCCAGTATTTTTGCCAAGAAAACCCCATGGACAGTATCAAAAGGCTAAAGGATATGACGCTGGAAGAAGAGCCCCTCAGGTCGGAAGGTGTCCAATGTGCTACTGGGGAAGAGGAGAGGGCAAGTACAAGTAACACCAGAAAGAGTGACGCGACTGGGCCAAAGCCGAAAGGAAGCTCAGTTGTGGATGTGTCTGATGGTGAAAGGAAAGTCTGATGCTGCAAAGAACAATACTGCATAGGAACCTGGAATGTAAGATCTATGAATCAAGGTAAACTTGACATGGTCTAAAATGAGATGGCAAGACTGAACATCGATATATTAGGAATCAGTGAACTTAAGTGGACAGGAATGGGCGAATTTAACTCAGAAGACCATTATATCTACTACTGTGGCCAGGAATCTCATAGAAAAAATGGTGTGGCTTTTATAGTCAACAAGAGAGTGCAAAACTCAGTACTGGGATACAATCTCAAAAATGACAGAATGATTTCGGTCCGATTCCAAGGCAAACCATTCAACATCACAGTAATCCAAGTCTATGCCCCAACCACTGATGCAGAAGAGGCTGAAGTGGACCGGTTCTATGAAGACCTACAACACCTCCTAGAACTAACACCAAAAAATGATGTCCTCATCATCATAGGGGACTGGAATGCTAAAGTAGGAAGTCAAAAGGTAACCGGAATAACAGACAAGTTTGGCCTTGGAAAGCAAAATGAAGCAGGGCAAAGGTTAACAGAGTTTTGTCAAGAGAACACACTGGTCATAGCGAACACCCTTTTCCAACAACCTAAGAGGCGACTCTACACATGGACATCACCAGATGGGCAACACCGAAATCAGATTGACTATATAATTTGCAGTCAAAGATGGAGAAGCTCTATCCAGTCAGTAAAAACAAGACCTGGAGCTGACTGTGGTTCAGATCATGAGCTACTCATTGCAAAATTCAGACTTAAACTGAAGAAAATCGGGAAAACCACGAGGCCATTCAGGTTTGACCTAGATCGCATCCCTGATGAATATACAGTAGAGGTGAAGAATAGATTCAAGGGTCTGGATTTGATAGATAGAGTGCCTGAAGAACTATGGACAGAGGTTCGTGACATCGTACAGGAGGCAGCAATCACCACCATACCAAAGAAAAAGAAATGCAAGAAAGCAAAATGGCTTTCTGATGAGGCTTTACAAATAGCAGAGGAAAGAAGGAAAGCGAAAGGCAAAGGCGAAAAGGAAAGATTTACCCAACTGAACGCAGATTTCCAGAGAACAGCAAGGAGAGATAAGGAGGCCTTCCTGAATGAACAGTGCAAAGTAATAGAAGAAAACAATAGAATGGGAAGGACTAGAGATCTCTTCAAGAAAATTGGAGAAATCAAGGGAGCGTTCCATGCAAAGCTGGCCATGATAAAGGACAAAAACGGTAGGGACCTAACAGAAGCAGAAGAGATTAGGAAAAGATGGCAAGAATACACAGAAGAACTATACAAGAAAGACCTCAATGTCCTTGACAAACACGACGGTATAATCACTGACCTTGAGCCAGACATCCTGGAATGTGAAGTTAAATGGGCCTTAGAAAGCATTACTAACAACAAAGCTAGTGGAGGTGATGGTATTCCAGCTGAGCTATTCAAAGTCTTAGAAGATGATGCTGTTAAAGTTCTGCACTCCATTTGCCAGCAAATTTGGAAAACGCAACAGTGGCCACAGGATTGGAAAAGATCAGTATACATTCCAATCCCAAAGAAGGGCAATGCCAAGGAATGTTCAAACTATCGCACAATTGCACTCATATCACACGCTAGCAAGGTCATGCTCAAGATCCTACAAGCTAGGCTTCAACAGTACGTGGATAGAGAACTACCAGAAGTACAAGCTGGGTTTCGAAGAGGTAGAGGAACGAGAGATCATATTGCCAACATTCGCTGGATTATGGAGAAAGCAAGAGAGTACCAGAAAAATATCTACTTCTGCTTCATTGACTATGCTAAAGCCTTTGACTGTGTGGATCACAACAAACTATGGCAGGTCCTTAAAGAGATGGGAGTACCAGACCACCTCACATGTCTCTTGAGAAACCTGTATAAGGGCCAAGAAGCGACAGTTAGAACCGGATACGGAACAACTGATTGGTTCAGCATAGGAAAAGGAGTACGACAAGGATGTATACTGTCACCTTGCTTATTTAATATATATGCAGAGTACATCATGCGAAATGCTGGCCTGGATGAATCACAAGCGGGAATTAAGATTGCTGGGGAAAAGATCAACAACCTCAGATATGCAGATGATACCACTCTAATGGCTGAAAGTGAAAAGGATCTAAAGAGCCTCTTGCTCAGAGTAAAAGAGGAGAGCGCAAAAGTGGGCTTGAAGCTCAACATCAAAAAAACTAAGATCATGGCATCCGGCCCCATCACTCCTTGGCAAATAGAAGGGGAAGTCGTGGAAGTAGTGACAGACTTCACGTTCCTGGGATCCCAGATCACCGCAGACTGTGACTGCAGCCATGAAATTAAAAGACGCCTGCTCCTTGGGAGGAAAGCGATGGCGAACCTAAACAGCATGATAAAAAGTAGAGACATCACCCTGCCAACAAAAGTCCGCATGGTCAAAGCAATGGTATTCCCAGTAGTCATGTATGGCTGCGAGAGCTGGACTATAAGGAAGGCCGAGCGCCGAAGAATAGATTCTTTTGAACTATGGTGCTGGAGAAGACTCTTGAGAGTCCCTTGGACTGCAAGAAGAACAAATCAGTCAATCCTCAAAGAAATCAACCCTGACTGTTCCCTGGAAGGCCAGATAATGAAACTGAAGCTCAAATACTTTGGCCACCAAATGAGAAGGTAGCACTCACTGGAGAAGACCCTGATGCTGGGAAAGATTGAAGGTCAAAGAAGACAGGGATGGCAAAGGATGAGATGGTTAGATAGTGTTATCGAGGCAACAAACATGAAATTGATCAAACTTCAGAGGACGGCGGAAGACAGGAAGGCCTGGCATGATCTGGTCCATGGGGTCGCGAAAAGTCGGACTCGACTGTGTGACTGAACAACAAAAAGCACCTTAGAGACCAACAAGCTCTTGAGCATAAGTTTTTGAGAGTCAAAGCCCCCTTTGTCTGACAGGAATAGGAATGGAGATCTGAGTCTTTTTATCCCAGTCAGATGATGGGAGGGGTGTTGCAAAGAATGCTTCTAAAGGTACAATGCATATTGTAATCAACTTGATTTTAGCAGACGGGAAATGCTTGGGAGGCATACAATTAGCATTCTAATGAAATAAGAAACTTAGGTCTCTATTCAGCCCAGGGGAGGGGAGAGGGAGATCCATTTATCTGAACTTGTGAATGAAGTGTCAATTCCCACACCATACTACTTCTACTACTACTACTATTACTCCTACTCCTACTCCTACTACTACTACTACTACTAATACTACTAAATTAAATTTATACACCACCCTCCTCTGAAGGGCTCAGGGTGATGTGCATCATCAGAGAACATACAACAGGTTAAAAATACAATAAATAATAGATAATTAATAACAAATAAAATCAATATTCCCGGGATTCTTTGCTTGAAAGGCATAATAATTCAACTGATGCAAAATCAATATAACCATGATCTTTATACGTGAGCGCATAGGGTCAGCAAAGTTCAGAATAAATATATTTTCAAGCTGGGGTTGCATTCTGGTTTTTTTCTTCCTGGTGACCTTTTCCAATGTCTAACATAGAGATTGAACTGCAGCACACAGGAGGAGAAGCTTTACCCGGAATTGGAAAAACTGGTAGAATAGTCTGCATCTGCTAAATATATAGCTGCTATAAAAGATGTTGGGCTTTTTTCGTTTTTTAAAGCACGTCTGTTTCAGTGTCAGAACTCAGCCCTGGTATGTGCAAAGCAGTAATAAGCAATCAGTAAGAGGGCCTCTGAGTCTGTCCAGAGTGCTTTTCCTTTGCTACTGAATAGCCACAGTCAGCTCCTACCTATTTGAGACTTGTTGTGTAGGAATTTTAAGTGTCGAGAGTACATTCCTGGCACACTTGAGTCCCAGTACCTTTATTTCTCTATCTCTGCCTTTGTTTTCCTGGTAGAAATTAATCACTAGACACCATGGCACCATTTGAAATAACCGATTAACCCCCAAACTTGTGATGGATGAACCCTAAATAACACAGGCCCATTTAACAAGCAAATCCCCTTTCACTTGAGAACTTACCCCCCCCCCCATTTTGTGTAGAATCACAGTTTTATTTTCGTGGAAGAAACACTGCTTCCCTGTGGTTTCGGTCCTCCCCCCCCTCCCTTTTTGATGGTAGCAGTGGATCACTTGCATGTGGTGTTTGGTGCCTTGCATGCTACTCACATGCAAAGGCAAGTTCCAGTCTGCATGCTGCTTAATGAATGTTTTTTTTTTCCTTTTCTCTCCCTCCTTGTTATGTGCTTTCAGAAGACAACTATGTGGAAGGTGGGTGCTTTCTACCTTATTTTCCTAAGCTCTTTGCTTATCCCTCTTGCCCATTATGTTTAGTGTTTTGCCTCCTCCTTAGTGCTGATAATGGGGAACCTTATCATTGAAGATGGTAAGTTGATTTTCTTCTTTCCTCCTGAGAATGTCCAGGTTTTAACATGTTTGTTGTATCTCAATATGCTGTGGAAATTAGGAGAATCTCTTGGTTTCACTTAGAAAAATGAAGAAATTTTCTGGTTAGAAGGCAACATTGTCAAATTCATAATCTAAATGCTCTGACATGCAAAGAGAAATAAAAGACCCTTCCCGTTTTGTTTGTACTCTATAATCTTGTGAGTTGGGTGTCCTGACCCAACTCTTGACTTTGAACATTTGGCATTTGGCAACTTTGCAAAATTTGCTAATGATTTGCCTATTAAAAATTGTTTCAAATCCAGTAAAGAGTGTTGATTCACAGTCACAAACTAAGGCACGAATTAAAAAGTCTCTGGGGGCATGCAAAAGCGCTTGTACAATGTCCAGAATGTTGTCTTTTTAAGTTATGACTGTCATCACCCCCCTCTATATATTGCAAACTGGAGCTTCACTGAATTTAAAAAGCAGCTGGTGTTGTAGCATTATTGACTTATTTTTGCATTAGGCATAAAACTGATTTAAAAAGCAAGGCCTACCTGCAGGCTTATAGTCAAGTGTCATTTATAGCATGTGGAGGGACGGGTGTTGGGAAGGGAAGTTAGATGTCCTGCTAAGCAAGTATAGCCCTTCTGTGCATCTCGAAGGACCTTTTTGGACTCATGCCAAAGTTTGTGTCTCCAAAATTTGCTCTTTATTGTAAATGAACAAAAAAGATTAAAAGCACACATTGGGTTCTCTATGCCAGCTGGCTGGACAATTCTCTGTCCCCATGACCCTTGTCAATGAGGTTTCATTGTGATACTGTGGTTGGGTGTCTTTTATTGTATCACTAGTCTGGTATAGAAAGAAGTTGATTTATTTTGATACTCTTGTGTGAAGGGCAAGGGGAGAGATATATACCCTAGTGGGATTTCAAAACTGATTTTAAAAAACCCTCAGATTTCAAGAGGGTGTTGAACTGGGGAGGTGTTGAACACAGAAGACACAGAGGAAAATTCTTTCTAGTCCCAAATAACTTCACTGAATGTCCTCATCGATCAGTTATTAGAAGCACCATCAGCTTCTTTCTTTTAATATTATTCCTATTGATTATTGCATTACTCTCTGAGAAACAGTTATAGAACCTCCCCTCTACTCCACAAAGTCTGCTTGGTAAACTCCCTTGTGTAGCTCAGTATTCCCTTATTGACAAGACAGAAGGGGGTATAAATGCCTTTAGAAAGCAATCAAAAGCAGAGAAAACAATGTGCAATCTCGTTTAGCAAGAGTGTTGGAAACCACGCAAGTTAGTATAATTTGTATGGCTGGCTATGTTTAAATGTTTGCACCATATTATGGGAAGTATAATGCATCAACTGCTGATTTTGATCATTATGAGCATCTGATTATCCTTTTTAGCTCAGGTCCATCTACCTTGTCACCCATCAACTTAAAAACAGTTCAACAAAACCTTATTCTGGTCTTCCAGGTGTTTGGTAAATCCCTCTCACGCACCCATCTAATTTTACAGTCCTGGACAGGTAGCAAATCCAGAAATTGGTTTTAAGTCCTTTGCTGAGCCACCAAATATGACTGATGGCCTGCAAGATTTGACTGTTTTCCAGGAGCCATTTTCTGGCAGCTACCCAAAGGGTATATAATATGGAGAAAGCCATGACAAATGAGGTTTTAAAGAAATGAAGTATCTTCTGAGAGTCCAATCCAGCTAATCTGAAAATGCCCTGTGAGTCGGATCTTCAGCTGGCCTGTGTCACTGTGCCTTAACTACACTTTGCAAAGCCACTTTAATTAACAGCAGATATGAATTTTCTCTGTAAAGCAAGAATTTCCTTAACCAAATGAACCAGGTACAAAAGAGAGAGAGAGAGATGTAAGCTGGCACTGGCAGATGAGGTGCATATGCTGAAGGGTCGTAGTTTAGGTTTTATGTGAAAATCCTTCCTTGGATTTACAGTTACACTTCTTGCTTAGGGCTCATCCTGATGAGCTTTTTTTGGTCCAGTTGCTCATCCTGACAAGACAAATACAACTTAAAGGAAACTTAGTAAAACCAACCAAGACCTACAAAGCAGAACACAACCCATGAGCTATGCATGCCAGTCCATGAGGAGTTTGCTGTGCCACTGTTTCCCATGCCATTATGAAGCTGCAGATGCAATACATGGCTGTTAAGGTTCTTGACCTTAAAGAGTCACAAGCTGCACAGACCTCTATAAGGTGTGTCTGCAACATTTATCCTTTAGGAGTCAGATTTGTGTAGTACAATTCTGACTAAGGGTGTGCACCAGAGAACAGTTTGGTATTTTTCATATCCAGATCTCGGGAAGGGCATAATTATTGGTATCTGGATTTGGCTTTGTTGGTTTTTTGCTTTTTTCGGGATTCCGATATAATTTGGGTCCGTTATGGAGATATAATTCCAGGGGTCCACAGTGGCTGTTTTTCAAGCAAATGACATCAAAACTGCAGTGGAGCTGGTGCTGCCTGTCCACTAAAGAGCCTCCAAGTTTCAAGTAGATTGGAAAAAGAGGTCCAGTTCTATTGGCCTCTGAACAAGGTGTCCCAGCCACTCTGCATTGTTTCCTATGGGGGAAAATTCCATTCTTTCTCTAGGGCAAAGAATAGCCAAACACACAACAGGAAGCAAAGCAACCACTGGCCAATGAAAATAGAACCAACAAGACCAACAGAACCAATGCAGAACCAGGGAATCCCAACAGAACTACAGGCCATGGGGCAATCCTAACATAACCAATGTCACATTAGAGAATCCAACCCAATGTCAAACCGGAGAATTCAAGACAAATTGACTGAACCAGGGTAGTCTCTGAGGGTAGCTCTGCAGATCTGCAGGTCTGCAGATATGATGATGGGAGCTTTGACTCTTAAAAGATTATACCCCGAAATCTTGTTGGTCTGTAAAGGACTACTGGACTTGAATCCAGCTGACTTAATAAGGGATACTGTTGTTAAGCCCAACAAAGTCAAACCAGAGTATCCAAGCCAATGGTAGATGAGAACATCCAAAGCAAACCAACACAACCAAGGGACACTGTTGCAAGAACTGGGCTGATGTGCACCAGGTTCATCATGCAGTGGTCTCCTCCATGTCTGCATTGGGGTATGCATACATTGAGGAGATAGCAGAGGTCAGTACTCTGTGTGGTCTGCACACTGGCAGGAATGGGGTAGCCAGGATGTTCTCCCACAGTGTATCATTCTTATCACATACCACTTATTTTTCCTCTTCTGTTTCAGGAACAATTACGGTTACAGGAATTATTTCTCTATTTTTGCCTTCTCCCCCATTTCCCCCCGTGTAGCAGGTAGCATGCACCCTTAACAGAACTTGATCACTATCTTCAATACAATGCTTAGATTTAATCCAGATGTTTCCTAAATCTACTTATTTAGTGTGGCCCAATGAGAACATCTAGCTTCTATCTGCAGTGGGTACAAACATTTAATTAACCAGCTGTCTCAGTTTTACAGAACACACATTGTTGAGTTGTCTGTACATTTTATGAGATTGATATGCCTCCATCTATAAACATAAAGAGAAGAAGATGGAGCAATTTAAGCTGTAAATCTGTACACATTTTGGCACACACAGGTTCAATTGAAATTAAAAGCAATTGTATGCACCTTGCTGTGTGATAGATAGCAATGATTTTTACCCCAGTGCCAGGAATGTGCAGGACCCAGTGTTTGCCGGGGCCTTGGATAGTGAAACACATAAAGAGCTTTTCAGATATTTGGCTGTCCAAAACAATAGAGTTAGATGCCAATTGGGGAGGTAATAATAGTAATAATGATAGTGATAGATGAACCTTGTTTACAGGACTGAGTACCATCCTGCAGGCTTTTTTTCCTGAAGTGTTTGATGTAATCCAAAACATATGTTGACTTGTGTTCTGCATTTTATGAAGACTGGAATCCAAGTACCTCAAGTAGTGTTTCACTTGTGCACTATGGCTTTTAAGCTCCTCTGTTTGAGTGGCATGCCCCTGAATGTTTGAAGGCCTTTGAGTTGCATCCCAAGAGGTGTGAGGGGCTGCTGTCAAAAGATTATACTTCCCCCCCATTCACATGAAGAAAACTCTTTCTGTTGCCATGTGGGGTAGGAGTGGGGGTGGGATTTGGATTCCAAGTAAAACTTGTTGCTTTTTGTTCTTCTGTTCCATTCCATCCCCCCCCCCCTTAAAAAAAATGCTTAGGATCACAAAAGGGAGGGAGACAGCATTCCCAGGGTACATAGTGGTTTTTTAAAAAATTATCAAAGAAAGAGAAGGCTTGCTTTGAAAAATGTGCTGCCACTCTGGTTATTTAAAGAGAAGGCTCCTGTATGCAACTAACACAACTCTTAGCATTTTTTAAAGTCTAAATAATTCTTAGACTAATACTGCATTCATGATTCTGCCTCTTGGCTCCCTGTAGACTTTTCTTAAAATTCACAAACTCGTCTTAAGTATCACTCCAACATTTTAAAAGCTTTTATTTTTGAGTATCCCGTATATATAGGAGCTGCGGTGGCTCAAGTGGTTAAGACGCTGAACTGCAGGCTGTGGAAGGTCAGTAGTTCAGCAGTTCAAGACCCGGGTGCCGCAAGATGGAGTGAGCTCCCATCTCTAGTTCCAGCTCCTGCCAACCTAGCAGTTCGAAAGCAAGAAATTGCAAGTAGATAAATAGGTACCACTTTGGTGGGAAGGTAACAGCGTTCCGTGCGCCTTGTTGTTTAGTCATGCCGGCCACATGACCATGGAAACGTCTTTGGACAGCGCTGGCTCTTCGGCTTTGAAACGGAGATGAGCACCGCAACCCTAGAGTCGGATTCGACTGGCTTTTGAGCAAGGGAACCTTTACCTTTTATCCCGTATAACAACCCCATATACAGTAAAACATAAACTAAACCTAGTACTGTCAGTCTGACAAGCAATGAATAAGCAAAAAAGAGAAGTTCACCTAAGGAACCGATGCAAGGTGGACTTAAGAGAATGGAAATAATATTTGCCTTGGAAAAATGAAAGGAGTTTGTGTGACAGGATTTGATAGGCCATATTTTTCATTTCTGTCTGAGGAGAATATATCATTTGATTGCAGAAAGCCAAAATTAGTGATGTTATCAGAAGAAGGATGTACTGCCATGTTGCTCTTAACAAAGAGAACCTAGAACAATGGATCAGTATGCAGCTGACCTAATGATAGTTGTAAGTCATCATAGGAAAGAAGTTGGAAGTAGTTTCAGTGTTAAGTACTGACATCACAAAATACATTTGTAAATACCTTTATTGCAGGGAATTTCCTATGCCATCCCCCCCCCCTTTTTTGGTCTGCTATAAATAGATCAAAGTGAAGATGTCCTGAATGTTCTTGTTTCATATAGTCACCATGAAATCTGAATGAACTCATGAGTTGTGCACTCTGCTCTAGTTATGGTTCTGTCTTGTCTGCTCTATGATCAAATGCAAAGATGGTCCTGATCTTACAGTGAACAATCTGGATTTAAAGAAATACTGTTTTGCTGTCGGAATAATATTCCTTAAGTACTAAAATGGTTTACAAGGATACTTGCAATGCAGACAGTACTTTCTAAAATGAAAAATTCCCATATTGTTTAAAACCTTATTTGTTCAAATGATTAATAATGCTATGAGTAATGTTTGGAATGTGAACGATCTGCTTTTGAAATTGCTCCCCCCCCCCCCCGAATCACTTGTTATATGTCTTATGTGTGCGGCTACTTTTATTCATGAATTAGAGGTCTCAATATATTCTTTAGGAATCTTACCTTCCAGTAAAAACCAGCATATTCTATTGCATACCTTCTTTGTGTGAACAGGGGCTTAACCAATGAAAACCCATATGGAGATTGTAGACTATCTTTAGAAATCTATTTTTTTTTTTTGTTCTGAATGCTTTTTCTCTAAATGACTGCCATGATGGGAAGGGTGTTTTAAAAATCCCACAATGGTCTATCTATAGAATTAAATGTAAATTTGAAATTGTCTTCTGGGGGAATTAATATGAAATATCTCAAATTTGGTTTTGAGCAAAATGCATATTTTTATTTTTTGCTGTCATTTGGCTGAAACTAAAAAAAATACAGCTTTGAAAAACTTGCTTTGCATAGATTGCATGTTTAAAATGCAAGCCTCTATCTGAAAAAATGCACATCCATTAAAAAAACTGACTTTAGACTCAATGTTCTTAAAATGGAATCCATTTTAAATTGGATAAATACTTTGCTACCAAAGACGGGTTTTTGAATTATGATTAATGTTATTTTCTTCTTTCCACTGGACGACAAACCATTTGCCTGTTCAAGAACAGACTCCTATGCTGTTCGCATGTTTCACACAAACAAGGAGACATCCCTTGCATTATCATTTCAATGTGACAAAATAATTCTTTTATTTAATTATTTGAAATGCTCATTTTCAACGAGGGGAAAAAGATCAGACCCAGCCCATTCTTCAGGTTGATATAATTCCCGGTTGGGGGGGGGGGAGAAAAAAAAATCAGTTTTACAGGACAAGGAGTCCTTCTAGTGAAACGAAAGGGCTTAAGAGATAAGATGGAATCTTCCAGGAGTTCATTGAATTTGAAATCATTTTCTTATGATTTTTGTCCTCAGCCCAACTTCCAGTGCCTAGAAAAGGAACTGTACAGTGCAGCATTACTCTGTGTTAGAACAGCAGCCCGCTTTCTCTTTTGCCCCACTCCTGCCCCTGCCCCTGCCCCTGCCCCAAGCATTCCAACCAGTGGTTGAAAATGCTCTTTTAATTGTCCTCTGTAATGCAAACATCTCGCAGGAGACAGATACCTGTAGCAAAAAAACAACCCCAAAACAAAACACAATTTTTGTCACTGTAACGATACCACCTTCCACCCTTGTTCATTGCTGACTGTGCTCTTGTTTCCCTTTAAGGTCTGGCGCACCTGATGATGGGCGACCAAGGTATGGGTTCTGCTCCTTTTCCACTCTGCTTTCATTGTTTTTTTAAAATATATATATATATATATTTTGTTCTGTAGCTGCTTCGAAATCCATCACAGCAAATGATGGCCAAATGCTTGTGAGCTGTCCTGGGCTGCCAATCAGCACATGATCTTAGCCACATCTTTCTTTTGTTGTTGTTGTGGTGTGTATGTGTGTGCGTGTATGTATTAAATATATACATAGCTCTCTCTATCTGTATCGCCTTTTTATTTAAGTTGCTCCCTAAAATCTTTTTTCTTCTCCTTTTCAACTATCTCCCTACCCTACTTGCAATACAATAACTGTTTTTAAAAAAATCAAGGTTGAAAGAGCTAACAATCTGACTGGATCTGTCCATGTGTTTAAACACCATGATAATCATTCTCCCCAGATAGATTGTAAAAAAAGAGGCTTGAGTTTGTACCCAGCAATAATAATAATAATAATAAATCCTGCTTTGCATTAATGCATGGCTGTTTGGAAAACGCGGAAAGCATCCGCTCCTGGCTTCTGGAATGCTAAGAGTACACTTTTGCAACATGACGAAATAAGTGGCATTTCCCCCATCACCCCGTGCAACCCCCCTCCCCCTCAGTCAATGTCGATGTCACTTCCGTGTCACTCGTTTGAAAATGAAGCATGGGTTACTTCTGTGTTCTTCTGCATGTACATGCTAATTGGGAAATGAACGATCGTTAAAATGCAACACTAATGGCATTTCCATTTGTCATCAAACACTTATTTCATGCTTTGTCTCTTTTCATGTTTCGGGTGTGACAGCATTTACATTTACACACACACGACTCTTACTGTTGTTTCTCTTCTTTGTTCTCTTTTTTTGTCCGCCGATGCTTTCTTCATGGAACCATTTCATCAAATCCATAGGTAAAAGTAAAGGTATTACATGACTTTCTTGCTTCTTTCTTTTCCCCTTTCGTTCAAATGCCATCTATGTACTTTAAAGTGTGTCTGAGTGATTCAAATGTATGTATTTAGTGTTGATGCACTGTGGTGATGGGAGGTAGGTATACTTATATAGTAAAATATTACATGGAAAGCACATTAAAGGAGGGGGGAACCTAAAAAAAATTCTCCCACTCAAAAGCTGGCTTCCTATGTGAAAGGTACTCTTCTGATTTTTTTAAAAGGAAATGTATCCACAAATTCACAATTGCTATTCTTATCTAATTCTTACTCACATTACCATTTTGCTAGGCACTGTGTTGAGCATACAGGTGGCATGTTTGTTTTCCAATAGGTCTAAATTTCATGTTTAGAACAAAGGCAAACAGAAAGGACAGACGAGTAGTTGGCATTCAGCTGGTAGAAGTGAATTTCTGATATGGTGTCAGGAAGGCTTTGTACTGAAAATAATAGATAGATGAAGACATTAAAAGAAAAAAAATGGGGGGGAGGGCAGGAGGGAAGCCTTAATGG